TCTGTCTGACCAACCAATGCACTTCCCATGTCTTCTTTTCTCTTTCGAGTCATGCCTATCAACAGACGCAAAGTAGATGCCATGAGCCTCCAGGTCCTTCAGAGCATGGGCAGGCTTGGTCTCTCAGTGGGGACAGGTGTCAGGCTGAAGGCGGGAGGTAATGGGTGGGGAAAAGGTGCCTCCTGACAGCTAGGAGCCAGGAGAGAAGGCAAAGATGGGAGTGAGGACTAAGGGCATAGTAAGTCCTGAGCTTTTACCGTGGATCTGAGCTTCATGTGGGAAAGGAGCCTCTTCTCCAGGAACCGTAGGGAGCCACAGATAATGGAGGGAGTCTGGCCCTGCTCTGGAGGGTGAACACGGGATAAACCAAAGGCAGTGGAGAGGACAGTGGCTGGGAGAATTTTCTTAGTGCTTTTAAACCGCAATGGGTCAATAATTAGTACCTCCAACTTCACTCCCTCTCTGGTAAAATCTGGTTCGCAGGAGGTCTGACCGCAGCAGCCTCCTCCACCCCCGATGCTCACACCCAGATCTCATGGCGGCTCTGTCCCCACTGCGTCCCTCCCGCACCCGCCGCTGCTCCCAGGAACCGTGCCAAGAGCGCGTCCTACTGACCTGGCTCCGAGCTGTTTTCTGCGTTGAGAAGATGTGTTCTTCAGACCTTGCTTACCCACCTGCCCCTATACCCTATACTTGGGTATTGTTTTTATAGGCTGTTCTTTCCCTGCGGCTTCTGAGAAGTAGGTCAAGATACCTGCTTTAAGGGAGAGGTGCCAGGAGTTCAAGTCATTGGCCGGGAGTCAGGAATCCTGAGTTCTATTTCAGGCTTCACAGCTAATCAGCTCCCAGACAATCTCTGGGGGCGCATTCCTCCCTCTGGCTCTCCCTGGGCCCTCCTCTAGGTCTCATGATTTATTTTTCTCTGAAGCTATATCCCCTGGGGCTGTCATCTTCTCTCTTTGCACCCTCTGGAAGGCCCTTTAAAGCTGTTGGCCGCTCAAGGCTGGTGCTGGAAGCAAGAGCTGCCGCAGTTGGGTGGCTGGTGGGGAGATTGGAGGCTTTTGCGCAGACACAGTGCAGCTGGAGGGGCTGTGTGAGGCTGGAGCGTCAGGAAGCCAGGCTTCTGGACCAACGGACAGGCCTGGTGCTGTGCCCCCGGATCCTGGGATGCAAGTGAGGGTCCTGGGTTTTATGTGACGGTTGTAGATTGCCTCTCACTTCTAAGCCTCTCTTTCTCTGTCATACAGGGAAATTCAGCCTCTGGTTGATATCAAAACTGGAAATTGTGGTGCTTACTTGTGGCAGATGGGAGCTGTCGCAGCAAAAGACATTGTTTATGGTGATGATGTTAACTAGGGTGTACTTTGGCCAAAGAATAATGACCTTTTCTAAGTCTTAGTTCCGCCAGCCTGACCCACTCTGTCCCAGGAGGCTCTGGGCTCTGGATTTGGCCAACGCCACAGGGGGTCCAGTGCAGATGGTCTAGGAGGGGGTGGAAATTAGAGCCCTGCTTTGGTCTGGATAGCCTGCGACTCTCTTTAATCTCTACCCTGCAAACCCAGGTAATGGGGCAGTGAAACACAGATGAGGAAGGAGAGCAAAGGTGGTTCAAGGGAGGGAAGGGGGCCTGGGACATCAGACTGTTAGGAAGAATGCTGCCGGAAGTCCAGTTTCCATGTGGGTGTCGGTGAGGACCGCAGGGCATCATGCGTGGTGGAAAGAAAATGGGTCTTGGCAGAGTGCCCCGGGCTTGAGTTCCTGCTCGACCACTCCTAGAGAGCGGTCTCACCTCTCCGGGCCTCAGTTTCCTGGCTGCAAAATGAGAATAATAGCACTGATCTTGCCAGGTTACTGACGTATTGCATCAGGTAATCTGTGCCACGTGCCAGGCACAGAACCCGCGGCGGAGTGTGTGCGTGGTAAACATCATTTCTTTCCCACTTTGCTTCCTGTCATGCCCATCCCTGTGTTTCAGGTTTCTGCAGATAAGTAAGAAACTATTTATGATAGGGATCCCAATTCTGACTTGCTCTTCTCCCCCTGATCTACCTGAATAACTGATTACCTGCATGGTGTCTTTTCTTGGTGACACTCTTTTAGATATTGGGACCCTTGGGTTCTGCCCCTTTGTTTTAAGTCATGCATGAGTAAGAAAATTATATTGCCCCCAACTCTCAGCTTCCTCATATGGGAGTAACACCCCTACCTTAGATTTCTACAGCAGAACCATTGCTTGCTCAAATGTTACTTCAACATCTTGACTACGCCTCGGAGAGGCTGGGTACGAGCTGAGTCCTTCACCACTGGACACATCAAGTCCAGGGGAGCCTCAGCCCTCTGGCAAAGCCCCATGCCAAATGTCGCAGGCCAGCTAGAGTGATCCCACTTGGCCTTTGGGAGCCACATACTAGTGTGGCACAGTTCTATTTGGGGACACAGGCTAGGGGGAGGGAGAAGGACCACTCCAGGCCTGGGTCACTCATGAAGATCCAGGAGCACCCTTTGAAGGATGGTGCTAGTAAAATTGTCAGGTGAAACCTGGGCTGAGTCTGAATTTCAGATACACGAGAGAAGTTTTTTTTAGTTTAATTATGTCCCAACTATTGCCTGAAACATACAGCAAACACATTTTTTTGAAATTTAAATCTAATTGGGCAGCCTGTACTTTGCTCATTTGTTTTTCTTCTGTTTTCCCCTTTTTATTGAATTTATTAGGGTGACACTCGTTAACAAAATTACAGTGTTCAGGTGCCCTATTTCACAACACATGCTCTGTACACTATGCTGTGTGTTCACCACCCCAGGTCAAGTCTCCTTCCGTCACCATTTATCCCCTACACCCTCCTCCAGCTCCTGGCAATCAAAGGCATCCTGTATTTTTATTTGCTGAATCTGGCAGCCCTAGATCTAATACGAAGGCCTTTGGGTCGGGCACTCCAGGCCCTCCCAGTATGGCCCTCGGTGACTTTCCAGCCTCTGTTTCTGCTTCTGCTCCAAGCAGGCAGAGTCTAGGTTACGCCCCACCCACTCTCTCCCCTCCACCCTCCTGACCTTTGCAAATCGTAGTCCCTCCGGCCAGAATGACAATATTTACATTGCATCTCCTCATCGAGAAATCCTGCCCATTCTCCGAAGCTCATCTTGAATTTTTTTCCCATGAAATTCTACCCTGCTCCTTCTGTGAGTCTCCACCGTAGAACTTACTAAATTTTACATAGTGTTTGCCTGTCTCCTGAGTACCTTTCACATTGTCTAGCACACAACCAGGAGTGGTCACTAAGTATTTCATTTGAAGAAGGAATTAACCCACCAGTTATATGGGTGTCTAAACAGAGGTCTATGCCTCTCATGAACAGTTTATGATATTCTTTCTTGTCATTTGTTTTTTTTTTTAATCAGTGTTTATCTTGTACTCCCTGCCAGACATCTCACTCCTGAGGACAGACACCACATTCCCCACTGTGCTGAAGGCACCTGGGAGTAATGAGAACATTCTGTGTTGAACAGATTGTGGGGTGGGAGTGTCTTCGACGTGCAGGCCAAGCGAGTCTCCAGATTTTCCTTTCTGCCTGGTTCAGATGTGACCGTCAGCAGATCTCAAAGCCACCTGACTTGGTCCTAGGACTGGAGAATAGAGACAGAGCTCCTTTGTGAGTCGTCCGAGGGCTGAGACTACATGTGAGCTACGGGAACCTTCCCAGGATTTCCCGGGGGGGTGGGTGGGAGGGGGGGTTCCAGGACACTCATCTGCTGCTAAGAGAGGGAAAGAGGTGAGAGAACAGGAACAAGACCTGGGGACAACAAGGAAGTAGGAGGGGATGGTGAGGACAGGGAGACACATGAAACATGGGTTTGGGGTACAACAGAGAGACCACTTTTCCAAGAATCCAGCAATCTGGATTCTCCCTCTGGCTCTGTCCCTGACTTGGGTGAGGAAGGAGAAAAGATACATGTGAGAATGCCCACTGTGTACTGTCTTGTAGGTTTCATATCAATTTCCCAAAAGTTCTGCAGGTTCAGAGAGGGCTTACAGACACACAACTCAGTGTATCTAGGAAAAATGAGACAAACCAACCTCTCACAGCCTCAGTTTCCTCTTCTGTAAAATGGGAGACATTACACCTCCCCTCCTTAACTTCTTGTAGAAACCTCAACCATGGGGCAAAAGGAGAAACTGAGGAGTGGATCCTGAAAGGTGGATGTGTGAAACGTAGAGGAGGCTGAGTGAGAAGCCTCAGCAAAGCCCCGAGCTGGGTTAGGAGATGTGGAGCCCAGAGTGTGGGCGTGAGCCTTCGGTCCTTCTGTGTCCGTTTCTCACACGGTCAAGAAGATGGAGCAGCAGGCCCTGGGGCACAGGTGGAGAGGATTCCTGCGACAAAGCTTGTGAATGACACGCATAAATCAGGGAGAGAAAAAAGCAAGCTGACTTCCTGCAGCACCTGCGGGGTGGGGTACAGTGCATTTCCTGCGTACCTGGCCTGGGAAGGACGCTGTTTGGGAGCAATCGCCTGGTCAGAGAGTGGCTGGGAGGGGCAAAGCTGAAGGTTTCATTAGAGAATGGGGCTTAGTTAGCTAAGGGGGCCAGGAGAAGGTCAGGGTTATTTCCCAATTCATCTTCCTTGCACCCCTGGCTCACCCTACGAATCCTGGAGAAATCCGGAGGAGGAATAGACATACACCTTCTGACGCCCCTGCTGGCCCTCGGGTCCACGGGTTAATATTGCCTGAGCATCCCAACAGGGGCCGGGAGTTCAGGTGGGTGACTTCCCCAAAGAACCACTGCAGCTAGACACTCCCCCCGCCCAGGCACCTTGGGATCTGGGTTTGAGGGAGGCTGGCCGGGGGCGGGAATTTGCCTGGGGTGGGGCGGAGCCGGGCCGGGGTCCCCGGCCAGGCAGTGGCCAAGCCGCGGGGGAGGGACGTTCATTAGCATAACCCCGCCCCTCTCGGCGCGCCCTGCCCAGAAGCCTGAGCGGAGGCCGCCAGCGCTCAGCCTGGGAGTGGACTGGGCGTGCGGCTCCCGGCGCTGGCCCTCCCGCGTCCGGCCTCCACCGGCCGCCGTCATCCGCCGCCGGGTGTGAATGAAAGGCAGGCGCCGCCGGGGGCCGGCTGCGGGCGACATCACGACGGGGCTTCGCGGGAGGCGCTCGCCCCGCGGAGATGTACGGTAAGGAGGGCTCTGCCTCTCGGCTCGCAAACTTGCGGGACGCGGACCATTGTCCCCGCGCGGGGGCCCGACGAGGCCGTGGGGCGCGGGCTCGGAGTCCGGCCGGGCTTTTTCTGTGGCTCTGCGCGCGCGTGTCTGTGCTGCGGGGACAAAGATGCTCGGGGCCGGGGACCCTGGGGTCCTCGGAGTCCTCTGGGCCGGTGGTTTGCAGGCTCCGGGGCGGTGGGCGTTGGTCAGTGGTGGGGCGGGGGCTTGGGCGAGCCCGAGCGCTGGGCGCTGGGGAAAGCGGGTCTCCCTCGGAGCTGAGCAGCCGAGCGGTGGTCATGTGTGACAGCGTTTGCAGAATTAACAAAAGCGGGTGGTGCTGCGGAGTTTTCTGCGGAAAGCCGGTCCCAGATTGCAGCGGGGACGCTCGCTGCCCGCCTTATGCCTGGTTGCCGGGATGTGGGAGGCGGCGCCGGCGGTTCAGAGGGTTGGGGAGCCAGCCAGTCCTGGGAGTCTTGGCTCGCTGTCCCTGGATGGATGTGGCTTCTGCCTGTCCCTGCCGCCTGTGGGACTCAGGTTCCCTAACTTCCAGGTTGGCCCCCCACAGTGACAGAGGAGGGAGGCGCTGGTGAGGGAGCAGGCAGCTCTGGGTAGCCTCCTCCTGCCTGTCGCCTGCGCTCTCTTGCCTCCTTCGACCCTCCCCTAACTGACGTGCAACAGTTAGACCCTCAGGTCTGCTTTAACACTGGCGAGAATTCCTCTGGTTTTGGAGGCAGTGTGGGCGGAGGAAAAGGGGGCGCTTGGGGTCCCACATTCCAGCTCTAAAGTGTGGAGCAGGGAGACCCAGAGCACTAGAAATCAACTGCATCGCAGAGCATCTGAACTGCTGTGTGTGTGTGTGTGTGTGTGTGTGTGTGTGTGTGAGAGAGAGAGAGAGAGAGAGAGAGAGAGAGAGAGAGATGGGGGTGGGGGGAGAGAGAGGATCCAGATGGACATAAGACCATCAGGACCCAGATTCTGACAGCTTTTCTCTGGCCAGCTAAAGAACCGGACTCGTTCTCACCTCCCATCTCCACTGCCAGGTGGGGGCTCTGGGCGCACCTGAGGGGCGAGTGTTGGGAGAAGAGTGCGTTCCCAATTTAACCTACCACTGAGGCTGCTCTGCTGCCTCATGGCAAACAGACTATATGAGTCACAAACTTTGTTGGAGGCAGAAAAAGCTGAGAGCTTGGTGCATAGGCTCAGCAATCAGTGGGCCCCCCTGTTGACAGAGAGAGAGAACCTTTTCATTGATCTCCATCTCTACCCAGTTGGTAATACGTCTGCACTTTTGAACCAGGTCAAGACATCAGCAGGTCCCCTCAGCGAGTATTCCTCTTGGGTCGATCTGAGGGGGCAGTAGAGTGGGAGGCGAGGTTGACCTCAGAGCCTCTTCTGCTGGCCATGGGGACTCTGGGGAAATGTAACAAGGCTGTTGTTTTATAAGCTAGGTGGCTGTGAGGCTCCCGAGAGAGCTGTATTTTCTTAGTCTGTTTTCCCCTCTTCTTTTCTGCAGAGTGAGCAGCCTGAAGCTGCTGCAGGTCACTTGACAAAAGCATGTGACTGCAGGGGCACCTGCAGTGGGGATGGAGTTAGGATAGGGCCCAGCAGACCGGGTAAGGACTAGGAACCTCAGTTCTGCCAGGCCTCTGAGTGGTGGTGCTTAATCTGAGTCAGTTGGGGTTCCTGTCTGCCTGTACTATAGGAAGCAAGTGAAGGAAGAGCTGGGTGGTACAGAAAAGTGAACTGGGAATCCAACGTATCTGGGTGCTATTTTCAGATATGCACAGATTTTTATTCCTCTTTTATGATATGTTTTTATTCCTCCAGGTGCAAACAGAGATGGTACTTACCCCTGAATGAGTCATAGAAAGATTATAGAGGGAATCCTCTGGGCAATTGCCTGCAGCAAAGGAAAGTCACACCAGTGCCCGCTGGGAGATTATTATTGTGTCTCACCCAGAGCAAAGCCTTGTCTTTGGAGGTGTGAGAGGCAGCCCACTTTTCAATGGACGGGGGCGGGAGGGGGGGCTCAGCAGCCTGAATTTTAGTATTTTCTTGACTTCCACGAAAAGAAAGGGTTTGTGTGATACTTGTAATAATTCTTTCCCCAGAAGTCAATAGAGTAAGGGATAAAGATGTGGATAGGGAGGTTGGAAAGGCATAGAATCACAGACTTCTTACATTTCATTCTTATTTTTCCATATTTCCCAAGTAAATTGTCCAAGGTAACATGGTTAGATAGGACAGTGCAGGATGCAAACTGGGGCTTCCTAGATCCGCACACCTCACCCCGCCCCCACAATGCCTTCGGTTAAAGTCTCATTAGGAAAATGCCACCCTGGATTTTACTAACTGATGAGCAGTGAGCTCCCCCATGTAGAGCCAAAGGTCACCTAAGAGCTTGAGGTAACAGTGACCCCTTGACTACCCACCCTGGTGACTCGATCCACTCCGAATTCACGTCATCTAACTCTGGTCCCCACCTCTCAGCGGCTCAGCGATCCTGGACAGATCGTCCTCTCCCCTCTTCACCCCTCCTCACCCTACTTCTCCCCCCGCCACTCAGTCTCCCTGTGCCCTCGGTCTCCTCCATCTTTTCCCTTTGTCTTTACGGGGAATAAGGGCCTCTCGTCTTTGCTGGAGGACACAGTGCAATCTGGGACAGGAAGAATCCTAGACCTAGGGTCCGTGCATCTCAATCCAGAGCCAGGTCATGGGCAAATGGGTCGTCTCTTGGGATGGCATCTCAGGAGAAAATGGTGAGATGTACATTCCACTCCTGGGTGGGCTGTGAGCCTCAAAGCCTGGCACTGCTCTGGCAGCGCCTCCGAGGAGGTTCTGTGCTCACCGGACAGATTGCTCCAGAGCCCGGCCCCTTCGGGTGGTCTTGAGCCTTTCCCCTTCTCTCCTCCTGTCTGCCAGCTCTGAGGATGCCTGTCTGTGCCACCTTCTGCCCTACCCACCTCAAACACACAAGTCCCCTTGACCTTGCTAGTCACTCCAGCCAACAAACAGCCCAGCTGCCTCCTTACCACTCGCTCGTTTCTAAACCTCAGTCCCTTTCAGGAAATGGCTGTCCAAAAGGACACAGGTGGCCTCCCACAGTCTGGTTTATACCTGTGCACACAGATCCACAAGGGACCTGGGAAAATAAAAGCACAGGGTGGGGGGATAGGAAGATTGTGGACAAATTCTGTGCAAAGCTGGATTCCCATTTGTCCTTCCCTGTGGTGGAGTTGCGTAGCCAGAAGGGTCCCTATCCCTCTCTCCTGGGGTGGGGCCATGCTGGGCCCGCCCAGGAGCATCCCACTCACCCGCTGAGGCAAGGCCGAGGCCTCCCTGTCTGAGCAATGCTGCCCTCCAGCAGTGGGCCTGCCGGCCAAGTAGAGGATTGGAAAGGATTTCCTCAAAGCCACAGTCCGCGTGGCCGGGTCCCTCTCAAACAGAGGCTGCCCTGACCCATCCCCCCTCACCTGCAGGTGCTGCCCCGTTGCCAACAAGCACATCTCACGCCGTGTGGCTGAGAGTGCTGACTGTAGGGAAAGTGGCAATGGCTACAGCGTTCTGTAAGTGTGCTTCACAGAGCACACGTGTGTGCCGTGACTGATGCGGACGGTGTGGCGACACTGCAGCTCAGGGCCGACTCTCTGAGGTGCACAGGCTCACCCTTGGGGAAAGTTCCATAGGTCCTGCTGCTCCTCCCACAGCCACACACGAGCTCGCGCGCGCGCGCGCGCGCGCACACACACACACACACACACACACACACACACACACACAGTCCAACCTCCTCGCCTTCCCGGCACTCCCCCCACCCCACCCCCAACTCCTTTACTCCTGGGAGGCGCCTGTTTTCTCTCTCTCACTGCCCACAGTTCAGTGAATTCAAACAGTTGTCGTTTTCTTCTTGCACATACATAAAAATAAAAAGTTAATATTGCCCTAGAGAAAATCTGGACAGGAAAGTAGGAGGAAAAAAACCATCCAGAATGCTACTAAAACCAACTTTTTATATAGCATTATATAAATTAACACTAGGATCTCGTGCTCGCCTGCATTTGCCCTTTCCTTTCTCTTTCCTTCCTTCCTTCCTTCCTTCCTTCCTTCCTTCATTCCTTCCTTTCGGGATCCTGTCTGGGTGAACCCAGGCACAATGGCGGAGGGGCGGCAGGGAGCCGGAGACTGGCCTCACGTGACCTTGGGCCTGGCCCTTTCTGAGCCTGTTCCCTGGCTGTGCAAAGACAACAGAGTCCCCCCCACAGCAGAGATTAATCAGGATGGGAGAGCTGTCCCCACCGTCCCCTTCCCTTTCTTCAACTTTCTCTTTCCTGTTTCTTAAAATTTTTTTAAAAAAGGGCAAAAATAAAAAGAAACAGACTTATGTCACTGCTTGTGAGACTGTTTCTTGTGTCAAACAAGAGGAAAATTTAATTTACAAAGCATCTTTTCTTTTTCCTGGTAGCTATTCAATCCTTCCAGAAAGTCTGGAAAACACAGTAAACTACAAACAAATATAACTGCTTTTACTGTTTTGGTATCTTTCCTTCCATGAATTTGTTTATGTAGTTGGAAATATTAATTTTACATAATTTTGCATTCCAGTTTTTTTTACTTAACATTGGAATATAAGCCTTCCCCCAAGTTAGTAAAAACTTGTTGGCTGCCATTTTCAATGACTACATAACTGTCCACTAGATGATATATAATTTCCTTATTTTATATTAGATTACACATAAAGATTCAATATTATAATCCTGGGAAGAGTACCTGGTACCCAAAGCTTTCTCTAAATTTTGGAATATTTCCCTAGTCTGTAGCCCTCCAGATGGGTTGATCAAGAAATACAAACATATTAAAGATTTGTTATATATTGTCAAACTGCTTTTTGTTTGTATCAGTTCTGCTGCCACTGGCAGTTAGAAGCACCCTATCTCCCTGACTCTCAAAAGCATTACATATTGGGATCTTTTCCT